TGGCACAGGGATAGGGGATGGCACAGGGGATGGGGGATGGCATGGGGGACATGGGAGTGACACAGAATCCATGGAGCTGACACAGGAACGTGGAGTGACACAGAGTCCATGGGAATAACACAGGGGGACATGGGAGTGACACAAGGAACATGGGAATGACACAGAGTCCATGGGAATGACACAGGGGGACATGGGAGTGACACAGGAGATGTGGGAATGACACAGAGTCCGTGGGGCTGGCACAGGAGTGTCCGTGGGGTCCCTGGGGTGACCCAGGGGATGTGGGGCTAATCCCGAACCCACAGGGCTGACACAGGGGACATGGGGCTGACACTGAGCCTGTGGGGCTGGCCCTGAGCCCCTGGTGTGGTGTATCAGGGCAGTGCCCATGCCTGTGCCACCACACCATGGTCACACAGCCACACCAGGATGGCCCAGCCAAGCTGGCTCTTCCACTGCCATTCCAGCAGGGAAGAGGGTCACCCTGCCCCAAAGAGCCCCTGCTCCTGCCTCCCTGGGCCCTGCCCCTGCACAGACCACTGGGGACAGCCAATATCCCAAACATCCAGGGGGCTGGGAGTGACCAAAATCTCCTCCTCCTCCTCCTCCTCCTTGGGTAGACCACTCACCCCTGCCAAGAGAAGTCCTGGGAAACATTTCATCCCAATAAACAAACCAAGAGCAACGTTTCCCACAGGGACAGTGAGAATTGGTGCCAGAACCCACGGCCTTGAACGTCCCCAAAATCCCCTCAGCACCCCCAGCCCAGAGCTCTGCATCCTCTCAGGGAGCAGCAGGGACTTGGAATCTGCTGATTCCTTGCAGATCCTCGGAGTGGAAGCTCCGGAGAGGAGCAGGAGCTGTGCTGCAGCCCCGATCCCACCTGCCAGAACAATTTGTTGGGCTCTAATCCCTTCCCCCCCGGGGGCTCCGGAGCGTTAATGATGACACACGACCCTCCTGAGGAATGGGCAAATGTTATCCTGCTCTTCCCACCCTCTCCCAGTCCTTCCCTCTCGGCAAAGTGCAGAAACTGCAGCACCAAATGCATCAGAGCAGGTTTGTTTAAGCACCGAGCACAGAGAAATGCCAGAAAATCTTTAGGCTGCCTGATCTCAGCCCTGGGAAGTAAAATTCCCCCTGGAAAAAATGGGAAAACCCACTTCAGCTGGATTTATTCTTCCATGCCTGGCTTCCCTGTCTGGATATAATTACAGGAGTGTTACCAGGGGTAAGGAGTCAGGAAGGGTGTACCGGGGGGACAAACAGCCAGCCATGAAAATCCTCAGGGATGCAGCTGGAGAGGGGGATGGACTGGGATGGACTGGTCCTGGGACTGCAGCACGGATCCCAGGGGACGTGGATAAATTGTGTTCAGGCAAGGAATGGCTTGTGAGGGAAAGGAGAGTGTCCATGAGGCACAGGGAAGGGAAAGGGGAGCAGGGAAAGGAGATCATCCATAAGGCAAAGGGAAGGGAAAAGGGAGCATCCCTGAGGCACAGAGCAGGGAAAGGGAAGCAGGGAAAAGAGAGCATCCACAAGGAACAGGGCAGGAAAAGGGGAAGATCCGTAAGGCAAAGGGAAGGGAAAGGGGAGCATCCATATGGCACAGGGCTGGGGAAGGGGAGCAGGGAAAGGGGACATCCCTAAGGCACAGGGCTGGGAAAGGGGAGCAGGGGAAGGGGACATCCCTAAGGCACAGGGCTGGGAAAGGGGAAGGGGACATCTTTAAGGCACAGGGCTGGGAAAGGGGAGCAGGGAAAGGGGACATCCCTAAGGCACAGGGCTGGGAAAGGGGAGCAGGGGAAGGGGACATCCCCAAGGCACAG